TGGAACTAGGGGTGCTGGCTTGAAGTGGTCTCCATCATATATAGGGTTTACAGTTTGATTCAATGGCTCTCAGCACCCCTACTATACATATTGTTCCAGCACCCCTGTTTGATGCTGCAGTGTGGCAAACTACATAGAAAAAAAATTAGCATCAGAACATAGGTTCTAATGTACCAGTTCCTATGAGTGTCCGCTCTAGTTTGTTCTCCTGTGTTTGATAGTGCCTGCCCTATATTAAATATTTAATGTACTCATGAAACACCTTGCCAATGATGCACATGCTGGGTATTTTCTTTCTGACCCCCACCTGATGATCTGCTCACCTTGAGACTTAATACTCCATCAGTCATGAATGCTAGTCCAATTCAGAGGGTTTTTTTTTGTTTCCTGTGTCTTCATGGAGTAGGAAAGGGGGCAGAGGGAAAGAGTGTTCACAATTTACTCTCCTTTTTCCATGAGCATCTAGGCTCTAATTCCAGCTAGAATATTTGGTCTTGGCTCCAGTCTACTGAATCATTTCTTTAAATGCCTCCAACTCATGGAATGAGAATCACAGTTGCTTATAAATGTGGATCCTCAAAGTGGCAACACAATGTGCTACCAGACTGGATTGTTTTTACTTCTGTTACTAGTCCAAATATACTTTCCAATCCAATAGCTGGCCAAAATTGTCAAACTCGTGTGACATACAGCAAAACTAAGGCTTTATAAGGTCACATCTATAGTAAGTAAGAAGTATTGCCAAACTCACTGCTTGTAACACTTTGAGCTTGTACATTAGTACAGTGCCACAGATGCTCCTGGTCTTTTTATAAGTATTGGTTGTAAGTTTGGTTGCTACAATGGGAGTGCAGATCTTTAACTCAGATCTAGCTGAACCGGTGCAACCAGTAATGGTTTCTTCCCAATGTCAACAGGAAGCCATAGGCATTTCTGGAAGCTGGGTATAAGCACACATTTTTAACAGTAAACCATTGAAAGAACATATCAAGGATTTGGTGGACTCTCCAACTGTCCATCACTTGGAGTCTTGAAATCAAGACTGGTTGGCTTTCCGAAAGTTATGCTGTTAGTTATTGGGTTTGATGCAGGAATTACTGGGTGAACTACTAAGCTTTATTTTATATAGAATGTCAGACTCAATAATCACAGTGGTTCCTTCGATCTTAAACATTTATCTATGAATTGCAGCTGCACTGGTTCATCTGACTCTCCTAATTCCACCCTGCAATGTGTTGCCTTATATTTGTGAATTATCCAAAAGATCCTGCTCCTAGAAGAAGTGATGGACATTATGGACTAAGTATACCAGGAGTCCCAGAATGCACTGATACAATAGTTTTGTGGATGCACCAACATGATGGTCAAAAACAGTGTTACTCTGTAGATACTTTGCTTAGCCTTTGCTTATCTTTGTAACAAACCATTTCATACAATCAATGTTCCTCTCTTGGTTTCTTCACATGGTATAGAAAGCAGTGAAGAGGTACGTGTGTCTAACACGTAAATACAGTGCCAATTCATTAAGGAGAAAGAAATGGTGTTCTTCTAACATGCTTCTTCTTGTAGATAATTATTTTGAATGGCCATTAAAATTTATTGGCATATCCTGCTACATAAAATGATTCTTCACCTCATCCTTGAGTCTATTTCCCAGATCACTTTATTATTGCAAGTGTCTTAATAGCCACTGAAATGCCCAAAACAAGTTAACAATCTAACCAGTAAGTTAGAGGCTGCAATTTTTTAAATTCATTGAGAAATATTGGCAAAACTGCACACATATGTTTCTGCTGCTAAAGCTTAGTCTTATCACAGTTTGAAAATGTGGAAAATCAATTATGTGCTTTGAATTATACTCCCTTTACTGCTATAAAAGAATTTCTTCATTCTTTCAGGGTAGTGAAGACTTTGTAACATCTACCACTAACAGGCTGTTAGGACTTTCTGCTAAATGAATACACTGCAAGTAAACTAAACAGAAGGCCTGTGGAATGCTAAACATCCACTTTCTCTTCTGTTGTGGCTGTGCTGCAGCTTGGGAACCGTCAGCCTTGTTGCTACAACATCTGGACAACATTTGGGGTTGTCTCTCAAGTACACGGGTGTGCACCTCCGGTGAATTTTAACTTTCAACATCTCTCTGCCTCTAATCTATATTTAATGTTTCATGACTAGTAGTCAAAGAAATTTCAACTAAATATCAGGTTGGAATGAAAATGATCCTTGGGAAAACATTCATTTTCAGCATTCAACAGCCAAGTATCTGTGACAGAGATGGTCCCTAGAGATTTGTAGCCCATTCTCTTGCAGTAATAATAATTAAGACTCGTGATTACTGTGCCCACATAATCAAAGATCGCTTCATAAAATGTACTCCCTCAGGGGAAAAATTCTCTGTTCCTAACTGGATGTCAGTCATAGGGATCAGCACCCCCAGGGATGTCAAGTCTTTTGCTTGCCCTTTTCATTACAGTGTTGTTAGCATTGTGTTACTTCATATTCTTCTCAATGCAAATGAGTAGGTAATCATGTGTAAATCGTGCCCTCCAGAAGGCACATGTGGTGAGGGTTTTTTTCCCCCTCTTCTCCAAATCTACCACAGGGATTTCTCACATGGAACATAATTACATCTCTGCCATATGGGCTCATTTATATTCTATTACAGGTTAAGCTAATACGACTTAGAACTATGCTAAAAATATCTCAAAGCGTTATGAGCACTGTCAAAACACTTGTCATTTCTTCCTTGCCTGTTTGATTGCTAGTGACTTTATATTTATTTAGAAATCTATAGAGCTAAGAAACTGTAGTAAAACAAAATAAGGTCAGTTTTAGGGTGGCCAGTCTGCAATGAAGATTGTAATTCTCTGCAATGTTTTGCTCTTTTGATTTGAGGCAAATGGATCAGATGTGAGAAAACCGAAAAGCCTCTGAGCCACATTTACCTGAATTGTCTCCCTCCTAGAATGTAGGTTTCCCAGGAGGCACAGAATCCAGATTTCAGATGTGTAGTTTTGTCATTATCAAAATATATCAGGTCTGTGTTTGATGTAATCGTCTTCTAGTGTATGGCTTCTGATGGCACAAACAATGAATTAGATATCGGTAAGTGATGTAGACACGACGGCCTGGTCTACACTATGACTTTAATTCGGATTTAGCCGTGTTAAATCGAATTAACCCTGCACCCATCCACACAACGAAGCCATTTATTTCGAAATAAAGGGCTCTTAAAATCGATTTCTGTACTCCACCCCGATGAGCAGAGTAGCGCCAAAATCGATATTGTCATTTTGAATTAGGGTTAGTGTGGCCGCAATTCGATGGTATTGGCCTCCGGGAGCTGTTCCACAATGCACCATTGTGACCGCTCTGGACAGCAATCTGAACTCGGATGCATTGGCCAGGTAGACAGGAAAAGCCCCGCGAACATTTGAATTTCATTTCCTGTTTGCCCAGCGTGGAGAGCACAGGTGACCACAGATAGCTCATCAGCACAGGTAACCATGCAGGTCGATAATCGAAAAAGAGCACCAGCATGGACCGTACGGGAGGTACTGGATCTGATCGCTATATGGGGAGAGGATTCAGTGCTAGCAGAACTTCATTCGAAAAGACGAAATGCCAAACATTTTGAAAAAATTTCCAAGGGCATGATGGAGAGAGGCCACAATAGGGACTCAGATCAGTGCCGCTTGAAAGTCAAGGAGCTCAGACAAGCCTATCAAAATACAAAGGAAGCAAACGGTCGCTCCAGGTCAGAGCTGCGGACATGCCGCTTCTACGCCGAGCTGCATGCAGTTCTAGGGGGGGGGCCACCACCACTATCCCACCTCTGACCGTGGATTCTTTTTCTCAGCCTGACTGAAGTACCCTCCCAACCCTCCCAAGCCAGTAGCCAAGACCATGACCCCATGGAAGGGACCTCAGGTGAGTTTACCTTTTAAAATATAAAACTTGTTTTAAAAGCAAGTGTTTTTTAATGATTACTTTGCCCTGAGGACTTGGGATGCACTCGCAGCCAGTACAGCTACTGGAAAAGTCTGTTAACGTGTCTGGGGATGGAGCAGAAATCCTCCAGGGACATCTCCATGAAGCTCTCCTGGAGGTACTCCAAAAGCCTTGCCACAAGGTTTCTGGGCAGTGCAGCCTTATTCCGTCCTCCATGGTAGGACACTTGACCACGCCATGCTTGCAGCAAGTAATCTGGTATCATTGCATGACAAAGCCTGGCAGCGTATGGTCCCGGTGTTTGCTGGCATTCAAGCAACATCCGTTCTTTATCTCGCTGTGTAATCCTCAGGAGAGTGATATCGCTCATGGTAACCTGGTTGAAATACGGGAATTTAATTAAGGAGACAGAGGTGGCCGTTCCTACTGGGCTGTTTGCCTGTGGCTGAAAAAAAAATCCTTCCCTGCAGTTAGCCAAGCGCGGGGCGGGAGGAGGGGAATTGGCCCTGAGCTTTTCGCATTTGGCTAGCAGGAATCTTCCCTGTTACCAGCCACGCGGTGGAGGGAGGGGTACAGCGATCATCCCAGATAATTCATGGCGGGGAGGGGGAGAGATGGGGGGTTAGTTTGGTTTCTGTAGGGATCTTCCCTGATACCAGCCACACGGTGGGGGGAGGGATAAAGCGATCATCCCAGAGAATTGGATGGGGGGGTTAGTTTGTTTTCTGCTGCTGAAGGTTAACAGGAAAACCGCAGCTTTGCTTGTTATGTGGGAAAGGAGGGC